GTACATCCTGCACTAAACTGTTTTATTGTAGAGATCACTTACAGTATCTTCTTGATATTTTATATTCTATATTTCAATCATTGACCTTCTACTTTCCCCTTATTTTCTATGTACTCTTAATATGTTTTTCATCAAATATAAAAATTCAATAACGTGCTTTAACCACTAGGCGGTGCGGGTTAAAAACTGTCAAGTTTACAGTGTTAACACAACAAATTATACTTTTTATTATTAGTGTAGGACACTTATGTATGTATAACATCTGAAGATGTGTAGTTTTATTCATATTTTCACATAATTTTACAGGATATTGCTATATTATTTGACATGTTTTACTTCTAATATCTGATTTGTAAAACATCACAGACAGAAAGGTATATCCGTCATGTAATGGTAAGCTATTGAAATTCTGAATCCATAGATGTGTCTCCCATCACCCAAAACCCCTGACTATTCTCTCAACTCAGTATTTACATTCTTATATTCAAAGAAAATCAATAATATCTTTAAAAACCCTGTCTATCAGCTGTGCACTGTTACCTATCTACCAATAGGATCAAATATAAAAGTCACCCGAATTAGTATTGATACTGCAAGGAGACGTATTGTGTGAAGAGAAATTGAAGATGTTGTTTAATTGCTGATATATTTATGATCCACGTCACGTATTCAGTTTCGGCGGCAGTTCTTCCAGATGTGTAATATTTAATGCAGCCGAACCGTGTATTACAATGCCATTATGTGATGACTTTCAAAGAGAAAAACAAGTACACTCGGAATAAAGTATTATTATTATTTTTTTTTAAAAATGTTTTCGGATTTCATATCGCATAAACACCATATCCCAACGTGCATTGCAGCTAAAACATCCAATCACCGAGCTTCAACCATAGCTCAGGATCTTGGGTAATCAGTTCAGTTGTTGTGTATTGTCTGTTTCCGGTGACTTTATTTTGAAATTCAGTTCCTGACGGACGTCATAAAAGCCAGATATTATAGAATTAAACAAATAAATAAAAACAAGGATAATTGTGTTATTGTTGAATAAATAACAGTGTGTTATTTAGAAAAGAATAACAAATTAGAAGAAAAAAAACATTTAAAAAATACAGATTTCAGTATTCTTCTGAGGCTCTGAGCCCCATTTCTTTTCCTCACGGACGGCAAAAAAAGTCCGACATTATTATATTAGTGGCTTGATATTGAGTAAGAAAATGTTTTTATGAACCACACAGCTTCTGGTCTTCCAAGACCCGACCAGCACGAAACATACTACCAATAGAAAGCAGCTACGGATAGGTAAGTGAGATTAGCTAGCTTGCTAGCTCTTGTGTTGTTGAATTTGCTTGATATTTGGCTGTGATGCGAGATGGTTGATGACTTGCTAGTGTTTTTGATTATAAGTATGTAATCATAACAAATGCTTGTGTACAGTTGTCCATGTTTTAGAGAGAGGTCCATGTGACTTGCTAAATCGGAAAATTAGCCTACTACATCTGTTTCTTTAGCTAGGAGGGTCACATGGCAAGATGGTAGGCTCGTATACATGGCTACACAGTTCTCTCTTCATGAAATATATTTTAATTTAAAGTGGACCTATCATGCTATATTTAAATGATATATTGTAGGGCCATACCTATATAAGGTATATTTATACGTTTCTGTTTTCAAAATACCAAACAGATCATGCATTTTAGCCATGCCTCATTTCGCTCTATTTGCTGTTCTCCAGCACTGTTTTTGCACGGGGCTGATTCTGTGAGCTGCAGCTGACCACGCCCCCCTGCAGGAGAGGGGAGCCGTGCTCCGATGAAGTCAGAAGAGGGGGAGAAAAATAGATCTCCGTCATCCGTGTTTTATTATATTATTATAGGCAGGGGTGCACATAACTTTCTCAGTGAGGTACTCAGATGAGTACCTGGAGTCAGTGTTTGGTACTCCAACTTCTGGCTCCCCTCAAAGTTCCCATGAAGCCCTCTGTATCGCGAATGTCAACGGAGGGGGTGGTAGTGGAGTACAGAGCTTCGTGACCACAGAGCGTGTGAACGTTGTGATCAGCTGTTTTAGCGCAGTGCTGCTGTACAGACCGACGTTAACAGCAGCCCTGTCTGTGCACACGGAGACCGACTCTGTCGTCCGGTGATCTAACCGCCTTCTGGAAAAGCTTCACAAGTACGTCGGTACGCAAATGCGCTTTGTGACATTTGGACTAACCGGAGAGAATTACAGTGCATGCCTCGACGGGGAGGGATTGCATTGAATTAAAGCAGCGGGAGGGAGAAAAAAAGCCACAGCGGAGAATAAACAGAAGAGTAACCATGGTAACCATGCGCGGGAAGTCTTCTTCGCTGCTTTTGTGGCAGACTACAGCGCCACTTATAGGCCTGGCATATGTACTACAGCGTCTCCAGCGCTTTCGAGCGGCAATGGCCGGCCGTGGCCCAACCCCACATTCCCCTGATAGGTGGAGAGTTGGCCCAATAGCCGTAGCGCCACTTCTGTGACGTCATTGAAGTGTTCAAATCTGGATCAGTTTTTATCAGATCTGTTGCAGCCCCTTTTTTAGAGATTTGGGTATGGAGGAAAATAGAGAGGGTTGTGTTTTCTGACACTTGGTGAGTTCCCTGGAACACCGGGGACACATATTCATGTATAAAAGACGTACAAAAGTGCATTTTGCATGATAGGTCCCCTTTAAGGAAGTATAGCTTGGCTACGTGAATGCTACCCAACATTAGCCAAAATGGTAGGCCAGTTAAACTGAATGTTATTTGGGGTTTCTTTTCTTTTACTAAGATAGCCTAAAGGGTGTAACATTACTTAAATGTAGTATTTAATTAATTTGACTGACAAAACATTTCAATATTGCTTTATCTAGAACAAACTACAAGGAATTCACTATCTGTATTATAAATTCAAAGTTGTATTTGAATTCTCATAATTATGAGGTTAGGATACTGAAGCCAATCTTCTGAGTGAATAAAAAGTACAGCCAAGCCATGATAAACATGGAGCCTTTTGCTCAGATATTGCGTTTTGCAGCAGCACAGTTCAGGCAGTTGAAATGTATTCCCTGTGTGATGACACAAGAGTTCGTCCAAACCCTCCAGTATGTTTGCACAGCTACCTGGTTTTGGACTGGGGGAGTCAGTAAACAGGTAAAAATGCTACAAATAGAATCTACCCACTTAAGAATATAGTCTTGAGGGAGGGCAACATGTCCCCGAGTCTGCGTCAGCACTGACCTTTTTGCTGTTTGCTAAAGGGATTTGATTTCAACTCGAGCTCTTTCGCTTACCCTTTTTTTTTCCTTCAACATTTACACTTAAGCCATTTGAGGAGTATAAAATGGCAGGTTTGTCCGTGAAGGCAAAGCTGAGGTAGTGATATCACGGCAGTGATAAGCTTATTCCAGCTATGAAATGCATTTTGAAGTTTGGATGTTTAAAGGTCTTGCCAAACACAAAATCAAGCTTGAATACAATTCTGACCTCTTAGATATTCATGTCTTTTATTGGGAGGACAGAAGTCAGAGTCAGTACAAAATACTGATTGAGTGACTTCAACAGTGCTTACCTGTTGTCACAAGTCCTCAAGCCACTAAGGGATGTATTTCTACTCTTTACTACCTCCTGCTGTGCACCCTTACTTAAAACCAGTTGCGGTCATCTCCCCTTGGTTGCTTACAGACTCAAAATATCCATTCCTGTGAGTTGGACATTGACCGAACATCTCTCTACAACATAAATGTTCAGCCCCCATGAGCCTGCAGCACCCTCTGCTGGCATTACACTGGCACTTGCTGTTGGTATGGGATCAAAATGATTGATACTTTCTTTAAAAAACTGAAGATTACAATAAGAGTCAAAGCAAAACCTAGCACAAACGAAATTGTGGTTACAATCAGAATTGAAACTTAATGCTAATTTTTCTATAGCTCAGCTCTTTTCCACTAAACTGAGAAAAGAAAAACAATATGTAAAGCTCCACCATGCATTACTTTCTAAACAAAGCTGAACAAATAGCAGTTTTCCTTTGTGGGATCCAGTGTGGTTTTTGTGGTTGGGATATCATCTGATATCAGGCCAGCTGTAGAATGGGTGTCTGCAGGTTCAACAAGAGCCATGTTTGCTTTCACTGCTGTTCCAATCCAGTTCTGTTTATTAAGGTCTACATTTCATGGCACACTATATTTCATATTAACTATTACGTGGCTCAGCAGTTTTGAAATAAGCCATAGGGACGAACACTCAGTCTTCAAAGACACACATCTGGTCAAACATCTGGGAAGCCTGTATTTTCAAAATGCATGAGACAGTCAGCTGCATTCCAGTTTTTCAAGATCACTCGGCATAATGGACTTTAGTGAAGTTTAGTTAGAAAAACGTGAAGAACAGCTTGCTAGACCCTTTTAAACTGTGTCTTCATTACTCTGTCAAACAAATAAGGATATAAACAAAAAATACATATCCCATCATGAAAGTCACAACAAAAGAGCAGTTTTTTTTAGTTACCATCACTTTATTGTAATTGGTCATCCTACTGTATTCTAAAGGAATGTCCAACAGAAATGCTAAGGAAAAGATATTGTCTGATAAAATACAAAGAAACATACAGTAGACTGCTTACTTTCTACATGTTGCGCTATCATTCTTAAAGAAGTTTTCTGCTAAACTTACATTACATCAAGATAAAGGTCCCAACTCCTTAACAAGAGTGTGTAAGAGTGCCAATGAAATGATCATTCCCACAATCTGTAAACAATGAATGTTTATTTGAGCCCATTGTTATTTAAAGCTAAATCCTTTTCCCCTGTGACAGTCCATTGTAATCTGCACCGGAGGAAAGTTAAAGTCCAAGGTTTCATGGTGTTTCCTTTGCTGGGACAATGTCTGTGTGTGCATGTGGTGCTTTGCTATGCTGTACAACAGCATTTCACACCAATACCCATAATGCACTGTGGGAAAAGGTAACTCCCATTTTGTGTACCTGAAGGAAACCAGAGACGGAAACTACCAGGGAAGGCAGAAGAGGAAACAAAACCACAGCAAGAAGAACAAGAAAGTAAAGAGTGTGTGTTTGGATTGTCCTTGTTTATAAGGAGCAAGTTGTTTTGTTTTATGGTAAAGTGGATTTTTTTAGATCATTTCGAGACTTTTATAGGTACTTTTAGAGTTTGTTTATCTACCTTTCTGGCACTTCAAAGGTGAGAGTGAGAGAAGTGGGACAGTCAGAGCAATGGGAGGAGCTGCAGGGTTCACCATGTATGGAATCCAGCTCTGTTCACATGGTAAATAGAGGGTCACATGGGGCCATAGTCTTGCACAGTGGGGGGAAACGGGAGGGAAAGGAACAAGGAGAGAGTGAAGAGATACTCTGCAGGACTTTGGCCTGCCTCATGTGCAAGAGGCAGCACTTTCAACCTGAGTTAAGAGGACACTAGATCCCACTACAAAGAGGAATGAACGAAAGATTTAAGATTGCCATGTTGAGGTCAAACTAAAACTTTGCCTCTACTGGGCCTGGATTTGACTTCCTTTGGATACTTTTCCTCTTCCCTGTGGGGGTGAAAGTTCAACAACTAATGCAATCTTGGTAGATGTAACTGAACACCCCTTACATACTTTATTCCATACGATTGAAGAGCCAAGATGCCCATCAACTTTACAGTAGTACCAGTGGAGGATGCAGAGGGTGACAGCAACAGTGCGGCTGCAGCTGGAAGCAGCAAACCTGTCAGTTTGGGCAACATTTTTGCGAAGGAAGATGACGAAGACAACTTACAAGGACCTCACTCGGGTAAGAATACATTGTAAACATGCTCATTCAGCTACACTAAGGGAGGACAGCTTTTAGCCGGAACTTATGACACCATACACTGGGTAAAAGAGAGGTGTGTATATGCTTGATCAACTGTATGCTTCATTGGATAACGGAACATGTAAAGAACTGATGAACGCTGACACAAGTTTCAGGATACATGTTTTGGCAGGCACATGATGTACACATAGCTGTTAAGTGTGACGTCGTTGAACTAGCAACAACTTGCAGGGCAGCTTGATTGGTGTGGTAGGAAGAGGGGGAGTGACTGTGTTGTTTTTACCTTCTGGTGTTCCTTCTTGTTCTCTATTGGATTTAGCCACAGTCAATTTAGTTTAAGCTTCAGCTAAAGCCAGGGGTCGGTTTGAAACATTGTTATAGAAGATGATATATGAAATAAAGACAACAACATTGTACAGATGATGACACAACACACATGTCAAGGCCCCCCACCTGTCATTTATAAGAGTAACATAAACAGACAGAAAGAGATAGAAAAAGAACGACAAGGCATAACTTAATCTTCTGTATTTGTTTTGCATCGTGATTTGTGTTTCTGTTCAGTTTACATCACTCTATTTTTCATACATATTTCTGTTTTGCTGTGGTCATTTGGCATCTCTTGTATTTGTTGTATGCCTTGCTCAGCCTCTTGTTTTGCCACTGTTTCGTCATTCTTTCACTTTGAGATATATATATTTTTTTATAGATTTGGGACAGTCTCATCCCTTGTCCACTTATTCACTACTTCTTATATTAAAGCTTGTTTTCGAACACAGCTTTAATTTGAAGTACTATTAAAGGAAAGGCACAAAAGCTCTGTGGCTATAAAACATATCGAACTAAGAACACAACTTTTTATTTGGAGAAGCACATTTCAATACTACAACTTTTAATTTAAAATCTTTCTGTAACTGTCAAGAGGAAACCCATGCTCACACAAAACATTGATCTTGATTCAGCAGCTTAGCCCACTTGTTGGAACCTAACGCTGATAGTCAGTTTGAAGGTCATAGTCCTGGTAGTCTGTCTCAGATTTACTATTTTGGTTGCTATCAATGGCCTTACAGTTGTCTCTGTTCAAAGTTGTCAGTCTTTCTAAGTATTGTGGCACCTGTTGAGTTGCCTAAAATAAAAGGATTCTGTCTGCTGTCTGTATAAAAACTGCTGATGTCATAGAAAGTCACATTTCCCAATTATTTCTACATGGACTTTATTACAGGTGGTTATGTATAATAATTTGTTTCAGTAGTATGGTGCATCACTTTGACCCTAAATAATCTATAATGACTCACTAACTAACCAAGCACAAACCATAAACAGTCAGAAAACATGATACAACCAGGTACTAATTTTAAAATTATGTTAAATATGAAAAAAAAGGTCATACTGACAGTATTTCACAAAATGTGGCTCAAATGCAAAGCCCTGGTTTTTAGCAAATGATACACTGTGCATTTTTATAAATATTTCTATCAGTGTGATAAATGAAAGGCAAATACTCTATACTGATATATAATACTGTCTAGCTTTGTATAGCCTACAGTCATGGACATTATGAGGGGGCCCCTGACACAGACATGTAAAAGGCCTGACATCTCAGTCTAATATATATATGTCTCTCACACACACACACACACACAAAAACTGACCCCATTGACCTTCAGTCACTATGCTAATCTAGGCTAATATTGGTGGTAGAAATACCTTCAGCGTTCTGCTTGCAGAGACACGCTGTATTTAATGCAGCAGATACAAAGGTATCCTGACTAATGCGTTATGCTTCAGAAGCTCTGGAACCTACTTTTCCCATAATGCAACTTATCAATAAGAGTTATTTTTCTCAAGATATAGTAAACCCCAGATGAATACCACAGCTGGTTTCATAGCCCTGTAATACTATTTTCTTCATAATGAGTGAGCTGATGGGAAATCTGTAGGATAAACTGACATGTTTTTTTCCACAAATTCCTTAAATCAACCTTTAATACGAGCCTTGCACAATAATGCAATCCTTTATCTGTGGCAGTACAGTGGGTACTTTCACTTTTTATGTGTTTCATTGTAACGGTCAAAGTCACAGAACGTTCAGCGCTCAAAAGGTCACAAACACCCACGTATGCAGACACAGTGCTGATTAGACAAGATGTCATCAAGTAAACAATAACATCACAGAACCATCATTTTCCAAAGCAGTGTCGGATGACGGGTGTCATGATTTGGGGCGTTCAACTATCTGCCTGAAGTAGGATTCACAAGATGCACAACACATTTGTTTTAAGTTCTAAGAAACCGTTTTTCGAAGTCAAAGATTTGATGTTGGTAAAATATGCTTCATACAATGTTTCCTACCTCAAGATTGCTGTCTTTGACAATGATAGCTGGTTGACAATAATGGTTCATCTCCATCATCTGAGATCAAATATGGGTAAAAAAATGCAAAAGAAAAAAAGCATACTGACAACTACATAGATGACAAAATGTAACAATCAAAGTTATAGTTAAAGGGGACCTATTGTGCAAAATCCACTTTTTCATGTCTTTTATACATAAACATGTGAAAAGATTCTGAAAGTTTCAGGAAAAAAGATTCTCTCACTTTTGGTCCTGATCCATTTATATAAAAACCTGTCTGAAAATGAGCTGATCAGATTTTGGCCACTTTATGATGTCATAACGTTTTTTTGGGTTGTGTAACCATTAGCCAATAACCAACCAAGGTAACCCCCCCCCCCCCACCCCCCCCCCCCCCCCCCCCCCCCCCCCACCTTATCACCCGAATCTCCTCCTAGAGCACCATTAGCCGCGTTCACACCGGAGTACTTTTCACCGTACTTTTCGCGTTTAGTTCGGTTAGTACCCCTTATGTCGCGTTCACACCAAAAAGAGCACTTAATCTCGGGAACGTTTACCCCCATTTTTAGTGCCTGCTGAGAGATGGTACTTTCCTGGGGGAAAAAAGTGCCCCAGTTCTGATTGGCTGGGCGAATTACAAACCACGCCCCGTACAACTCTGAAATGTTTTGTAGAGCCGGTGTGAACGCGATCTGTACTAAATGCCCTGGGGTAATAAGTGCCGGGGCACTGAGTGCCGGCACTAAATACGGCAAAGTACTTGGTGTGAACGCACCTATTGTGTTCTTTTTAACCAAATATCTCTCAGAGGGGCGTTGGGAGTGGCTCCTTATTTTCATTCTAAAGTAACAGACACATAAACAGCACTTTTGAAACAGGGCTGAAACAGAGGGTTTATGGGATGCTACAATGCATGATCTGTTTGGTATTTTGAGCCAAACACTTCGGAGACATGTTTTGTATATATCTGAGACCTATAATATATTGATGAAAAACAGTATAATAGGGGACCTTTAACAGAGAGGACAGAGTGAAACGTAGAGTAGGTAATCTCAGTGTTTATTCATTTTTTTTGGAATATGCTTATCTGCCAGAGTGACATGAGCTAACAGTTCTTCATAGAGTTAGCCTCTTCATTTTGTCTTCAAAGTGCACTAGATTGTGGCATTTACTTCATATATGATGTTTCCAAAGTCAATAAGTAATTGCCTTAGATAATTGTCATGTAAATATTGACTAAAATAATAATGATTCTGTCGTTACCATGTGTGATCAGACCCATGTTAAGGGCCAGTCACTGGGTATTAAACACAGGACTTTCTAGCAACTATAGCAAACTGAGGAAAAGGATGTTAAATAGCATTGATTTCCATGTGTAAACCTGGTAGGGTGGGCTTACTGCCAAGGGTTGAGTGTCTCGAATAGAAGTTTACTTTTAGCAAAAACCCTTGTGACGTTTGTTTTGTTTTCAGTTGTGGAGACGAGTGCCGATAAAATGGTATGAATCTCACTCACTCTAAGATGTGCATGGTTAGCGTATTGGTTTGGTATAATCTTTGACTTCATTATGAAATCTATAATACCCATTTTGCAGCTTTGACTCTTTGCTGCAACATAGTTTTGACACTACTCTCATAATTCAAAATGGCAGCAGTAACAAACTTTTTAGACTCATTATGTTGACCAATCCAACGTCTTTTGTGCTTTATACAAAAGATGCTGAAAAAACAAAAGAATAACAAAATCTTGTATGACTCAGCTTTCACTGGAAGGAAACACCCTCATAGCAAATGTCTAAGATAATACTGGTAAACTAGATTCATCACTTAACTTAATCTTGGCAAATAAGGTTAATCAGAAGCATCTCAATTGGGCTTAAACATTCAGTGATGCCATACACGTCGACCAAATTCATCTTAGTAATGTATCAACACATACCAATCAATTAGCAGCATGTTAAATAATTATTTAGTGTACTGTACATGTTGTGATGTGCTTGATTAAACTTAGCATCTTGAACACCCTGCTGTTGGATACAGAGAAAGTTGGACATCTGCTGGTTAACACAATTACTGCATCTGAAGCTTTTCATGATGTTAGATTTTGTGTAAAGCAAATAAAAAAAACTGTATGTGAGTAAGAGAGAGATACTCACACCTTTTATAGCCTATTGTGAATTAATGTAATTGCTGCAAACATTAATAAAGGAAAACCTCTTTCCGGAGCATTAAACAGAAAGATTAGGATGCGACTGAAGTTACAAGTAGATTATGTTAGGGTAGGTAGTTAGTTTGGAAGGTTAATGTTAGCGTTAGGCAATGAATGTTCAACAGAGGTCCACAGTCCAACAGACTGTTCAGAAATATCATGACATTGTTACAAGGAACATGACAATGAACCCACTATACACGTTACTGTTGACTGAAGATTTACATTTGTATGTGTTTGAAAGACCTTCAGGCCTAGCATAGTCAGCCTATGATTCACCAAAATGCATAAGCATAGTTTACAACATCTGACTTGACATTAATCAGGTGTTTCTAAATGTTTTTTTCTATTGTATTACCAATATCTGTCTCATAGTGTTCAGTCCTATATGTATATGACCCCCTGCCCCAGGAAGCCCCAGCTGACTTTTGAATTATGGAAATAAGATTTTCTCAGAATATGCAGACAAACATTTCTGCCACTGTGATAATACATGAAATATCTTGTTCTTTTTTAATAAATACATTGTAACAAACAGTCTGTGACATAGATACAAAATACAACCATTCCCTGTGAGGCAGAGAAGTTACCCTACTTCCTTTGTTCAACCAAATATATTGTATTCTTTTATGGGTACAGAGTAAGTGCAGAATGACACCAAGCTAGTACTGATTACAGAACTAACACTGACCTTCACCTCATTCACACTGGGGTTTTAGATTTTGCATAAAGATCCTTTCAGTGTGTTTTAAAGGACAAACATTTTGGCTTGGAGCCCACCGAGGGACTTCCCAACTAAACATTGCATGCTAGATTTTGTTACAATGCTCACATGTCATGTGCATCCACAGTACACTATTCTTCTTATAAAATGCCTTTCATTGATTTCTTAACCATTGACAGTTGAGGCAATGAAAATGTGCCATCAACAGTGTCATCTAGTGTGATAAAATACTAGAGAATGCAATTCCTGAAGAAATTGCTAGTGGGAATGCTTTATGCTGAAAAACTTCAATATTTAAAAAAGAAAAATCTTCCCGGGGTAGCATGCCCTCGGACCCCCCTAGAGGAGGTGAGGAGGACCCCCCCCACTTATAAAATAGCACTTTACCTCTGCTTACACCTATATGCCATTTTATATGCTGTGAGCTGATTATCGAGCCTTCATTGTAAGAGTCGCGGGTACACTGTGTATGTGCGTATTCCACTGTAGCGCCCGGTACATTAATGAGAAACCCTAGTTTGTACATGTTCAATACATTTGTAACACTGTACACATGAACGTTTCGTTTTAACCAAAAAAAAAATTCAAAATAGTAGCCGGATTTATTAACAAATTTGCATAGCAAAACACTACATTATCAACGCTACTGATGATTTTTCTTTAGGTTGATATTCTGGTAAAGTTAAAACAAAATGAGTCAAAAGTGCTGGTGTCTCCCTCAAAACGTTATTGAGAACGGGAAAACGATCTACACAGTAGCCTTTTATAAATATGGCTAATATACAGAAATAACCCCACTGTATGTACTGCTAAAATGCATTTTAATAACACGGACAAATACAAAATGTCTGAACTAAAGTTAACTGACATATCTGTACATATACTTTATATCTAATTATTATGTTTTTTCTAACGTTAGCTTAATATGTTGTGCTGAGTGACTCACAGCTTTTGTTTCTGGTTTGCTTTGGTTTATTGACAAATTCACATAGTGTATAAAAGTTAAACATGGAGATTTTGAAACATCTTATTACAGTTTGTATTTATCTGCTGCCAGTTATATGCATTTGAAATGTTAACACTGCCTTGCTAGCGGAAACTAGCTTTAGCTGTGTGAAAATGAGGTAACATTTCTAGCAAATAGGAGGATATTTTTCAACAAAACCATCGGCTCAAAGTGGTCTTACCAGACAACAGCAATGACTTTCATTTTGCTTGCATGTTTTACCAAACCTCCACAGCTTTTCCAGATACAACACAAGAACTGATGATCCTGCCGCTTTCCTTCGCTGCTCCATCAATAGACCATCAATCTTACAGTATTGATTTTTCCTGTGTTTCCTACTAGGTGATAACAGTCAAAAAGAGTCCACTCCCTTCATCAACTCAGACGATGACGGAGAACAATATTATGATGGAAAGAACATGGCCCTGTTTGAGGTAAGACAAAAAACATGTTTCTCCATATGTAGTTTCACAGTGTTTAAAAATGCCAAAACATTGGATGTTGTGCAAAATAGTTTTCATTCCATGCATTGTCCACTAAGCTGCTATTTTTAAAGCAAATTCATGTTGCATTTTATCTATGGTATAGGCACAGTATGAAACCTATCCATTTGTGCTTTAATATTTCATTCATGCATGTCCCTCTGTCTCTCCGCAGGAGGAAATGGAGAGTAATCCCATGGTATCATCTCTTCTCAGCAGGCTGGCCAACTACACCAACCTGACCCAGGGTGTTCGGGAGCACGAGGAGTACGATAACGAGGATGGGGTCAGGAGGGTCGCGGACACGGTATGGACCTGACTTTTGTACTGGGATAAATTTGAATATTGAAAATGACAGGTGTAATTTTTTTTAAATCCAGACTAGTCTTCCTGTAGTTATACCTGAAAAACATGTCTGATGTAGTTTACATGAGTGTCCTTGTTGAGAGTTGTTTTTATTTCCATCTCTGGTTTATTGTCTTTACATTCAAATTGGAGTATCTTAGATGCTTTAGTAAAGCGACATTGGAAAATGTATGGTATTTAACTATTAGTTATCTAATTTTCAGCAATTGTTAAAATTGGCAGTGACTTTAGGTTAAGGAAATAGAATGAGTTTCTGCTAAAATAATTCCTTCTTTTTAGTTTTGCTGACTATCAAGAGTTTGAGAACAGTTAACTGCATACTTTGATCCTGGGGAGCATATCACGAGGAGATGAGGCAGCTCCTTAATATCTTCAAAGAATGGACTTTATTGTGAGAAAGTCGTGCAATGTCCCATAAATCTTTCATCTTGTAAGATTTGTAGATTTTGTATTGCCTACAAGTACAAAGGGGGCAGCAGAATATCGAACAGGGTAGTCTTTATGGTGCTAATATTTATTCATGTCATGGCTGTATGGTAAAAACACAACCTTACAAACTGCTAAAAACATTCAAAAGAGCTTATTGGAGGTTTTTTTGAGTATTTAAGGAATGTTTTCTTTTAAAAGTCTAGTTCTTTAATAAGCAACCATAAATGATGTTGGCCCTGAACTTTTTGATGATATCAGTAGGCTCCTGCATAAAACCATGTTAATGATTCATCAAATAGAACAAAAACAAAGCTAATAAGGGGCAAAACTGGGTTAAATAGCAAGATAAAGGGGAGTTATTTTGAGGCCGATAGCAAGAGATGAGAGATCCTGACCTTTGAAATATATCCTTTTTGAATCACTTGAGGTTCATGTGGCACACTCAGGATCTTTCAGAAAGTGAGAGTGGTTAGCACAACAAAAACAGAATACATTACTAGTTAAACCAAACATACATGAATTAATGTGACACTTTCTTCGAGCCCCAGAACTGTAGCCTTGTTTACTTTCCGTAGTTTTTTTCAAACATTCGAATCTTGTTTCTTTGATGGTACCTCGATAAGTGTAGATCAACCTCTAGCGAAGTCACAAGATTAGTTACACCTCCTTTGTCCTGAGACTGCTATGTGGAGCAAATTGCCCCGCTCTGTGTGGGAAAAAATCCTAGAATTACCAACATTTGACCAGTAATTATGTCAAGGTCATGACCAGGAAGGACACTTTTCTTTTGCTCAAACTTGATCTCAAAGAGATTGTAACAGAATCTGTCTTCACCTCTAGATTTGTAAAACAGAAGTTCAGACTGGACAGTAAACTTACCCTCAGCTTAGAGAGGCAAACTAAGTTTAAATCTTTGTTCCCATTAGACAAAACACCCACTAACAACCACTTACGTCCGTTTTTTTGTCTTCTGTGGGAAATCTTCCTTTATTCCTCAACAAATACCTACTTCAGTTGTCACGGCTATTTATCTGTTCAAGGAGAACACTCGTTTTCACCCATTTCCAAGCGCAATGCTTTGTGACATTTGTTGTGGATATATAGTAAATAAAATGAAAGAAACTTGGCCAATTATTATCCTTTATTGACATACAAAACATAGGATTAATATATTCTGCTTAAATCCACCAGGCTTCTTTGACCGTAACAGTCATTTACATTACTGATCAATGTCAAACACACTTTCAAACTCCACAGAAACAAAATAGACTAATCCAAAACATCTTCAGAACGAAAGACTGAATAAGTAACCAATATAAAAATTGAGTAACCACTGTTGTTTTATAAGCCTGTTTTCCAGCGTGTTCACAAAAACAAAAAGGCATACTCATCTACTGGCCTACTTTAATTAAAACCTGCATATATCCACTTATTTTGGTGGAGAAAGGTTTGTCTGTGGTGTGCAGACAGTTGGGACTTAGATGAGTCAAGTCACATTCAAGCATTTTGAATATGATCCAATTACAACAATACTTGCCTACTTGGCCTTCAAGCTGCCCTTGAGTGAAACACAGTAGGACCATAGCTCCATAGACCATAGAGTGGAAGAACTGATGATGTTTTAGTGAAACCCGCCCCCTGATTAATAGCTGTGACCGAGATCCGAGACCAAAAGGAAAAAGACAGACCATGCAGGGAGAGTGAGGGGGAGAGAAACAGACACAAGAGGAAGATAGACTATCTCAAGGGAGAAGATGTGGGATACCTGGAGATCTACATCAGGCACTTCACAGTATTTAGGCACACAACTGAGCGCAGTGGAGAAAGCACAGGACAAAATATTTGTATCTCGGAAAATGGTATGTACTCTTACGTTTTTTGGGGAGTCAAGTAGTATAGAGATATATATGTAGGTGTTTGTGCAGTGTAATGCATACTTTACATATTTAAGAATCTAGGGTTAATGGTATTTAAACCGTAGGAGGTTAAACACAGTGACTTTATACTTTGAGATGCTCTTTGGACGATATTTCTCTGGGAAGCTGTGGCGCAGTATTAGTGTGCTGGTTCAAATCCCGCTGCAGTCAGCATGCCGCTGTGTCCTTGAACAAGACACTTCAACCCAAATTGCTCTTGTGGGGAGCGCACACAGTATTGAATGTGTGTATGTCGCTTTGGATGATAACAAGTGACATGTAATGATTATATTTTATTTGTTATTTTATTTTACAGGAAAAAGTAATATTGTGTCTATTTGCGATTAGATGCGATAATTTGCAAGAAAACTTCAAAGTAATTTTAAGTTTGAATGCCAAAATATCAGGCGGCCAGTGGATACAATTGCAGTAGTAAAGGTATTGCAATATATTAATTGACAAAAACTGTATCACAATACATACAGTATTGTATTACAAGATTTGTGCCAATACACAGCCCTAACATGCTTTAATAAATTAAATTACATATTATATAATAATTATTATTGTGAGAAAATCCCTGTATCGCAAACTCAGTAGGCCAAATACATTTTCTTTTCATGTGTCATGGGAACGGTTTTATCTTTTCTTCTTATCAAGTTTGACTTCCATCTTTTCCCCCCCACTTAGACCCAATATTTAGTTGAGCTTAGTAGAGCTTGTGGAAATGTAATATTTTTGTCCAGCAGATCAACTTTTTAAAGGGTTACATTTATATTATTTATAACATCAGTCTTTTTCTTATGTGTCTATCTCCAGGTCCCTCAAATGGGAACTTTCATTGGAGTTTACCTGCCCTGCATGCAGAACATCCTGGGCGTGATTCTCTTTCTGCGTCTCACCTGGATCGTCGGCACCGCAGGAATTCTAGGATCCTTCGCCATCGTCTCCATGTGTTGCATCTGTGTAAGTTATTTATAAATACAATAGCTAAAGGTTGACTTCCTGCTGAAAGTGTTGCAGGAAGTTGGAAGAAATATTGTGTCAAACTTGGGAAAGTAATCCCACTTTTGAAATGATATGCAATGCATCACGACAGCTTGGTAAGTGACCACAAGCATCAATATGTACACACTTATTTTAACCCAAAACCACCATCATCTCTTGCTTTCACTAAGAAAGAAGAGCTGCTTATGGAAATAATCATCGCCATACAATGAACAGTTCACCCTGGTTGACAGCTGAGCCGGGAGCAACCCCCCCCTTCACGGAGAACACAGCAAGCACTAAGAAGCCTTACCAGCTGTGAGAAGGGCTGCAGAGTGCCACTTTCATCTGGCACAGCATATTGTTTAGGTCTATTATCGATGGAAACCAAAATTGGAATCAATTCAGATTTTGTTGCACTAACTACAAAGATGTTTGTAACATACAGTACTCAACTTAAGTAGATTACATTGCGTAACAAACGTATTTATTTTAACCATTGCAAATATAATCTTTTCTTAAACGTCAAAAAGGAACGTTACCACGGTCATGTACGTAACTCACAGCTGATCTTGTGTGAAGTCTATTTCACTTCCATGCACATTGACATTTTAAGTTAAGATACGTAAACAGTGATGCCAAAGGTTTCTGATGAACCATCCCTATATGATGGATATGAGAATGTGCTTTCATTTCACAGTTTTTCCTCAAAATGTGGCTAGTGGCATTACTGTGAATGAAGGAAAGACAAACAAGCAGAGTCTCTCTTGGCCATAATTCTAAGTGCCTGAACCGGGTAGCGATATATGTCGGAGTTTAAGTCTGAAATTGACGAATGGCTCACCAACTGAAAGCCAATCAATACCCTCTCCTCTGAATTTATGGTGTTGATTTATGACGGCTTTACAGTAATCTGTATGCTTAAACTCAAACGAGGGTCCTCATACAAGCAGGAAATGTGTGTCTTATTTACAACCAAGGTTCGTACGTCAGTAGCTCCACTGCCAAACAGAGAGTTGACTGTTTGCAAAGTTTGAACTTCAAATGCTCAGCACTCATGTGATGTGAACAGTCTGCACTTAACACACTCCTACAATATATATAGCCACTCTGACTGGCTCTGATGACTTAGACCAGAGACACTGACGGAGGCTATGTGATGTTGGTGCCGCTGTTAGATTTGGCTTCTGGTTAAGGCTGGGTATTTAACTGCAATATTTAGACATATAATGCCTAAAATGTGTTTATTGCACTGGGTTTTCAAAATCGGTCAAATACCAACTAGCATTTTGTTCTTGTTCCGGAAAAAAATTGGTGCTTTTTAAAATTTAAATAACATAATGAAACCCTTATTTTGAAAATAGACATTCAAGTAAACTTTAATTGAATTACTTTTATCAAATAATGCTGTTATAAACCATAGTTGTATATAGCATTTTATTCAAACAAAGGTCTCGAACAGTAATATTAACTTTTGAAAAGTCCTTCTGTCTCTCCTCTACCTCAGTCATTTATAAAATGACTCAAAGTTAGGTCACCAAACCAAAAAAAACATAAAATGGCACCCAAAACTATGCTGTAATCAGTGATAAAAATAGACTTTAAAGTGTGAAAAAATGAAAATGTTAATTTTGTAGCAAGTTTAAATAAAGTTATGGCAGTATAAGATAATAATATTCAATGTAAAAACCCAGCTTTTTAAAAGCATTTTCTTCTTGCACAATTAGTACAGTGCATTCTGTACACTTATCTCTTTTGCTTCATCCATTACTTAACGTCGCTCGTCTTTCTTTCCACACAGACCTTGCTTACGGCCATATCAATGAGCGCCATAGCAACCAATGGAGTTGTCCCAGGTACATTTTGAATTCTTGCTATCATGATCTTTTACTATTCCACTGCAATTTTTCAAATGCAATGGCTTGCAACTGCAGATGCATACAACGATGCCCTATTTTCCTGTACTGTAATTTATTTGAAAAATGTAAACCCCATAAAAAATCTCTTGCATTGCATTCTGCCCTGAGTAATTTTTGCCATCAGCCTCTGTAGGCATCATAGAGCTCCAACAACCTTTATCAGTAGGATAACATAACGTGTCGGTTGCGTGAGAGACAAACACAGGACAAAAAGTCTGTCATTCACTCCTACTTCTGTCACACTGAATGTATCTGAGAATAAGGTATGACTGATGTTGAATCAGATCAGAAGTCAAAGCTTTTCTCAAAATAATTTGTTACTTAACTTTTACAAAATAAAATAAAAATATCAAGGAAAATCTTTTGTAGTAACTAACCAGGATTTATTTTTCCAAAGCCGGTGGCTCGTACTATATGATCTCCAGATCGTTGGGTCCAGAGTTTGGAGGGGCTGTGGGTCTCTGTTTCTATCTGGGAACCACCTTCGCTGGATCTATGTACATACTGGGCACCATAGAGATTCTGCTGGTATGATCAACACTCCACTTCCACACGCTTCCACATAGGAAAATCAGTCACATCAGTTATATTGAAATTACATTGACACTCTCTTTCTTCTGTCTTCTGCTGCCAGACATACATTATTCCAACAGCAACGGTGTTTAAAGAGGGCGAAAGTGCAGCGATGTCCAACAACATGCGTGTCTACGGCACGTGCTGCCTGCTCCTCATGGCTCTGGTAGTGTTTGTCGGAGTGAAGTAAGTATTCACTTACACAAATTACGTAGGTTTTATTTCAGTTGACAATTCAATTCAAAGAGATGTAATGGCATATGCCGTAAGACTCTCATGCATTCTTTATTCATTTCAATTATTTATGTTCCTATAATATGGCCTTAAAACACAGACTGATGTATTTCCCTTCTTTTTGCAGGTATGTGAACAAACTGGCCCTGGTGTTTCTGGCCTGTGTCATTCTTTCCATCATGGCCACTTATGCAGGAGTCATCAAGACATTAATCGAACCACCAGAGTTCAAGTGAGTTCCTGAAATCTAAATAAAAATGTCTCATTAAACACTGACATGTTTTCATGGTGCTGTTTTAATGTCTTTGAAGAGAACAAAGATAAGTGGTGAAGATATCCTGAAAATCAGTAGATTGCATTTAGTTTGGTTTCTATTTTATGCATTTTGCTGCACATTGCTTAGATCGTATACTATAACTCCAGCCTGTTTCTCCAAAATGGAATCGTGCCGGCCGCCATCTACTGTAGTTGATACATTAAAGGTAGGGTAGGTAAGAATGGAGAAACCAGCTTGAGTGCGCTAGAATTTGAAAGTACAACCGAAAAAAATCTGCCCCTTCCTTCAGACTTCCTTACAGAGCCCCTCCTCCAACACACACGAACGAGCACATGACCAATGAGGGCACGAGATAAGTTTGTGCACGAGATGGAAGGCTGACAGGCAGGTAGGCCATCCAATTATCTGCCGCGGGCCGAGGCAGATAATTGGACTTGCTTTTTACAGCGCCACGGCTTCCACAGATGAAATATTTGTATATATTTATTGTCAACGCATTTAATTTATTCATTGCTATCGGGATGTTAAGAGCATTCCATGGAATATAACAAAAAGTGTTTCTGAAGTGAATTACCTACCCTACCTTTAACAATAGATTCATGCCTAATACAACTCCTTTTCAACATTACATTACATTACATGTCATTTGTTAGACGCTTTTATCCAAAGCGACTTACATACATTCAGTACTGTGGACAATCCCCACAGGAACAATTAGGGTGAAGTGTCTTGCCCAGGGACAAAACGACATGCTGACTGCAGTGGGACTCGAACTTGCTACCCCCTGATTCTAAGTCCAGCACTCTATCCACTGAGCCACAGCCGCTTCAAGACATCTAACATTTCCCTATAACGCTTACAGTCTAATACATCTTTCATATCATTGCCAAAACTCAAGTATGTGAGGTGCTCTAGAAAAAATATATGTATTAAAGGTGGGGTAGGTAAGTTTGAGAAACCGGCTCGAGATACACTTGTTGTTATATTCCATGGAATGCTCTTAACATCCCGATAGCAATGAATATCTTAAGTGCTTTGACAAAAATCCATAAAAAAATGTCATCTGTGGAAGCCGTAGTACTGTAAAAAGCACGACCAATCATCTTAGCCGGCCCGGCTAAAATAACTGGATGGCCTACCTGCCTGTCAGCCTTCCATCCGTGCACAAACTTATCTCGTGCCCTCATTGATCATGTGCGCGTTCGTGTGTGTTGGAGGAGGGGCTCGGCAGATTTTTTCCGGCTGTGTATTTTCAAATTCTAGCGCACTCGAGCTGGTTTCTCCAAAATGACCTACCCCACCTTTAAGTATTCCACGTCATTTCAATGTAGGTCAATTTGTTATTTAATAGGATTTGTTTTACTGTCTGGAAAAATTTAAAAAACGATCTGAGATTTTGGATCATGGTTCTTTTTTATCCAATCAAATGTTCTAAATAGCAGCGTTTAATTATCGGTCCATACTAGGTTCATAGGTACATCAACCTTTTTAAAACCACTCTCAAATAAAAAAATCCACTTTTATCTATTTACAGTTCTCAGTAGTTCTAAAGCATCGATGTCCCAGAAATGTACCTCAATATATACAGCTGCTTTTATCTAACTCCACTAAACTGTCCTCTCTTCATCAGCGTCTGTCTGCTTGGAAACCGATCTCTGAAGAACGAAATGATTGAAACATGCGCCAAGACCGAGGTTATTAAAAACAACACGGTGATCACTAAGGTGTGGAGCCTCTTCTGTGATAGTGAATATTCAAACGCGACCTGTGACGAATACTTCATCTTAAACAACCTGACGGAGCTACGGGCCATACCCGGGCTCCTGAGCGGAGTCATTAAAGGTGAGGAGGTGGAGAGGAAGGAGCCTCAAGATATTTATTGCCCCTAGAGAAAAAAAGGAACTCTGATGTTCATACGGCTAAAGATATGTTTTCTTTCCATCAGACAACCTGTGGGGCGACTATGGGCCAGCTGGTACGTACATAGAGAAGAAAAGCCAGCCTTCCATAGAGGAAACCCAGGACACCTCCGATGATGTGTATAAGCCCTACGTCTTCAATGACATCAGCACCTACTTCACTCTGCTGGTGGGAATATACTTCCCCTCTGTGACAGGTACATCAAAAAACGAATATAAATATGTTTTATCAATAAGAAATGATTGTGATACAACATTCTATAATATGAGCATACTCTGAAATAAGAAGTAAAGCCTGATGAGCATTTCTATGACATGCATTACATTTTTCTTTTAGTACTCAAGTACATTAACACCTTTCCTTACGTTAATTAAAAAACGTTAACGCCTAGGTGCCATGCATGCACATACGCTGCGTACTCCATCCTCAGTACTCCTTTTGGTAATTGTCTCAGTTCAAAAGAAACATAGATTTCATCATGTACAAAACACACAATTTGATTTTTATCTCACTACGTATTCTGCTTCATTTCATACTTTTTGCTGTTGAGCCATTCAAAAACAAATTCAAAATTGCTTTAATTGCCGCACACAAAGGGAGGCATGCATCTGCATTAATAGGGTCTAGTAACAACATAAGTTATATTCATATGCCAAAACAAATTAAAATCCCATTTCTTAAGTTTTAGGATGATGATGTTATAAAATTATGACAACAGAGATTTGAAGCTTAAAATATAAAAAACTTGTAACCATCAGTGAAGCTCTGTTTGATTGATGCCACTGCTTTTTTCCCCTTCCTACTGTGTATTGATACTGTTTTTTTTTTAGGTATAATGGCTGGTTCTAACCGGTCTGGTGATCTCAGAGATGCTCAGAGGTCCATCCCAATCGGAACCATTATGGCTATTCTCACCACCTCTTTCATCTGTATCCTCTTTCTGCACGTGTGCAGCTGAAACAGTTTATACAAACTGTAGTGTCAGTTGATGATAGAGAGCAGCCACACGTGTATTTTTCAGCTTTATTTGTATTAATGTGTATTGTAATGTCACAGGTCAGGTTTGATACTGCAAAATGAATCAAAAAGAATTCCATCTTAACTTCATGCTCAGACATCTCCTGTGTGGTCTTGTTTGGAGCCTGTATTGAAGGAGTGGTGCTGAGAGACAAGTATGATTTATGTGTTTTTTTATTTTTATGAACTTCTACTTCTATAGTTAAACAAATGATGGCTAGTTTTTTGTACACTTTGAATCAAATTCAGTCTTAACCTGTCGTCCAAAATGTGCTCTGTAAATACATTCGATTGATTGATTTTGGGTGATTCAGGTTTGGTTACTCCGTTAAGAAGAACCCAGTGATTGGCATTCTGGCCTGGCCGTCACCCTGGGTGATTGTGATTGGCTCGTTTTTCTCCTGCTGTGGGGCGGGGCTTCAGAGCCTCACCGGCGCCCCCCGTCTGCTGCAGGCCATCGCTCGGGACGGCATCATCCCGTTCTTACAGGTCAGTGTTTGAAAGATCTTTGTTTTTCACATGATGCTGTCCTGTGGGCTTTCAAAATTAAGCATCACCCAGACACAAAGAGGGTTTGTTTGACTATTTTTAATTTTAAGCCGTTTACACACTTTCAAATACATATTTAGACCGATTTCTAACCTCAATTAAAACCTTAAAAAGCTGAAAGATAGAGGGTGTTGTATGCTTTTCAGATTTTAAAGTCCCCTGAAGCAATATGTGATATTGAGCTATAAAATAAAACGACTTGACTTTATGTGACTACTCTCCAGTTAAAATGTTACATTTCACCTTAAAGTGCAACGTTGAGTTTTCAAATTACATTCAGTGTTTCTCAGCAACACACATTGGGCTTCATTCAAGAACCGCTCGTACAAACAGCTGCAGTTGGTAATGTTATTAAAAGTTCCCTCACTTTTTGTCATGTTTGCTGAACCATTCTATCCTGACAGTATTACATTACACAAATTATCTGTAAAATGTAATGTTCCTCTGAGTCTTTAAAGGAACCCTATTATACTCATTTTCAGATTTCATAATTGTATTTCGTGCCTCTACTGTTAAATGTTTACATGCTTTAATGTTCAAAAAGTGCTTTATTTTCTGTTATGGCCGTGCTGATTGGTTAGCTGGCCGGCTCTGTTGTGATTGGTCAAGCGCTTAAAGATGCCACGCACAATGCATTGGAGCCCTAGCCAATAAAAGCGAGAGTGTCGCGTAGTGATAAGACAATGTTGCGGAAGTAAATCCGTATTTAGCTTCAATAATGACGCATTTTATATATTTGATCAAATTTAAACTGCATCTTGCAGCTACTATACTGTTTGACTACGACTTTTTGTTTAGACCATTCTTCTTTCTCTGTCTTCCTCAGGTCTTTGGTCATGGGAAGGCTAATGGGGAGCCCACCTGGGCTCTGCTGCTGACCGTTGGGATCTGTGAGATAGGAATCCTCATCGCCTCTCTGGATGCTGTGGCCCCCATCCTCTCCATGTATGTTGTTTAATAATGTAAAACACACTTATAACTGAACTTCTTTCAATGCATTTAGTTACAGACCTATCTCTCTTTCTGTGTGTGTGTGTCTGCTCAGGTTCTTCCTAATGTGCTACCTGTTTGTGAACCTGGCCTGTGCTGTTCAGACTTTGCTCCGGACCCCCAACTGGAGACCTCGCTTCAAGTTCTATCACTGGTAAAAGCAGCCTCCAATAAAAACCTAATCTAATATTAATCCTGCGCTTTTGATGAAAGATTTAAGCTCTCTAAAGCTTTGATTAAAAACACAGATGTTGGTCCTTATACTTGTACCAATATGTACTGTTTGTGTTCAGGACCCTGTCCTTCTTAGGGATGAGTCTGTGTCTCTCCCTCATGTTCATCTCCTCCTGGTACTACGCCCTGGTTGCCATGGTGATAGCCGGCTGTATCTATAAGTACATTGAGTACAGAGGGTGAGTTAAATAAAAACTGATTTAAACACTCCATTGAAGGCAGTCTTCAAGAAGAACTGTGTGTATTTGTTGTTATGTGAAATATAATATAGCTTCATATCTCGCATGCTACTGAGACTGTATGATTAAATATTTAAATGTTACTTTTTTTAAATGTCTGGAAAGAGGTATAACTTTTCTATTTGGTTGCAGGGCGGTGAAGGAATGGGGGGACGGGATCAGAGGTCTGTCCTTGAATGCAGCGCGATACGCTCTCATCCGGCTAGAGGAAGTACCACTACACACCAAAAATTGGAGGTAAGCCTGTGTGTGTGTGTATGTTGTGATTAGCTATGGTGAAGGGTTAGGGGATAGTTCTGAAGACATATCATTCAAATTAAACTGCACCTCGGGGGAAATAGGGAGAATATAAATCTAAAACAAATTTGAATTACATTTTTCATTGACGAACAACGCCAGAAAAAAGGATCAAAATAGTTGCAGCTGAAGAAAAGCAGCTGTTTATTTGACGTATGCTTCTTCCTTGACGAAACCTGGCCCCTACATTACCCACAATGCAGCTCCAACGCATTTAAGTCTGAGATTAAGGTGTGTTTTTGGTAGTAATGAATAATGTAATCAGATCTGTTAGGCTCTTAAATCATCTGAACTCTGCACACTCATTTAATAAATCGTTTTATTCCAACTTGTTTAGTCATATTTTTACAAACAACATACTTTAATTGTTTATATGTCCTTCTTAATGTGTCTCTTAAATGTTATTTTCTCTCTCTTCAGGCCCCAGCTGTTGGTGTTGTGTAAATTGGATTCCGACCTGACGGTGAAGCACCCTCGTCTTATGTCCTTCACCACGCAGCTGAAAGCTGGAAAAGGACTGACCATCGTGTGCTCTGTGCTGAAGGGAACCTTCATGACCCGGGGGAACGAAGCCAAGACTGGAGAGCAGGTCTGTCCTGTTTATTTCTCAGGTCTACTGTGTGTTAAGTATTAATGGCTACAACACCCATTTAGAAGTGCCAAAAATAGCTGCACCTATTCACATGGTAAACAAATATGCCTGTTCAATCATTATCAATCAGACATTAATGTATTGTAAAAAGAACATTACAAATTATTAAAGTTTGTTGTGCCATACTCACATGGCTAAAGCTTATGACTCTTCAACACAATTCTTTAAATTGCTCTTTCCAGCTGTGTAGATGTATCATTTGTTTTCTCATCTTTTTTTTTTACCATAAGCTCTAAATAAGTATATATCTTCTTTTTTTTATCTGCATTAATGTATATTTTTTAGACACTTGGGGTAAAGCAGAACATGCTGTAAACATAAAGTGTATTAGCATATCATCAATTTATAAAGGTGTCAAACACTCAGCTTGAAGTTAGGATGGTTTGTTATGTGTCATCATTGGTCATGCTTGAGTTTGTTTATATATTGCTAAGTTTAAGATAAATTATATATAAGTGACGTTGAAACCAGTATCAGTTTTAACCAGAGTGCTGCTTTTGCTCTCCTTACATTTGCCAGGATTACTTGTATACAGGAAGTTCATTACACAAGTAGAACAATGGCTGCCAGCATGTGATTCAAGCAATGATTCACTCATAGTATTGCGTACAATTCTACATTTTAAAGCCTGTTTTACATTCCTCTCCTTTGCACCTCTCACAGAACCTGAAAGCAACGATGGCTGTGGAGAAGATGAAGGGTTTCTCCCATGTGGTGGTGTCGTCCAACCTGAGAGACGGTTTCTCCCTTCTCATCCAGTCAGCCGGCCTGGGAGGAATGAAACACAACGCTGTGCTGATGGCCTGGCCCACAGGCTGGACGCAAGCCCGGGACCCCTCTGCAAGGAGGAACTTCATAGGTAAACTACACAGGAGCGTGTGCCAGGATAAAGTCAAAGGGGAGAATTCTACAGTATTCAGAAAATGACACTAAGTTGATATGTATACATGTTAAATATTTCATTCCTTCGGTTCACTTACATTTTATTGAATCCAACTAAAAAACATAATGATGCGCACAATGTAAAATGTCTATTAAATGTATCTTGCATCTTATTTTATTACATAAGTTCAATTTATAGTGTCTCATTAAATGTTTGTCTATCATGTCAGTGTAAATGACAGTGTCCATAAGATATTAAGTAAGTGACATTTTTTTACATTCAGTTTATACTAAGCATATCCACTTAATCTGTATTATTTAATTTATTTAACATTTTCCTAATGATTTTAAATGAGGGCCAAGAATAGCTTTTACGGTCCAATTTTTCGAATGAACTATTTTTTTCAGATATTTAAAACTTTACCGATCTGGGTTATTTAAAAAAAGATTTAAGCTGTTTAAAGACACACAAAAGCCTTTTTGAGCAACAAGTAAAGGGACCTTTTATCTTTTCAAGTGAAAAAAATAAAGACTGAATCAGGGAGATACACAACTTATGTGGCTGATTCCCACAACCGTGAAAATAAAAGATCTGAAATGCAATTTCTCTCACTATATTTCTCTCTCTCTCTGAATAGAAACTGTAAGAGAGACCACGTCAGCTCATCTGGCTCTGATGGTTGCCAAGAACATCGACCATTTCCCTAGCAACCAGGAGCGTCTGAAGGAGGGAACCATTGATGTGTGGTGGATCGTTCATGACGGAGGACTCCTCATGCTGCTGCCATTTTTACTCAGTCAACACAAGGTGCCCCATCCAAATTATATTTCCTTCTTTTAATCATCTATTGTGTTTTTATGAACTGCATTAGTCACATTTTGACGCTTCACATAGCTGACTAATTGCTGAGTTTCCTGCTCACATTTCCCTCTTAGATCCAAGATAGATGTAAGTGCTCTTAAATTGACATCCTTATTTCTGCTGATACTGATTCATCGCCTTCCTCTGCAGGTATGGAGGAAGTGTAAAATGCGTATTTTCACGGTGGCCCAGATGGACGACAACTCCATCCAGATGAAAAAAGACCTCCAGATGTTTCTGTACCACCTACGCCTGGATGCAGAGGTGGAGGTGGTGGAAATGGTGAGACTCAGTCGATTAGATTTTGTATCAAATGATGATACCTGCCCTTGAGCAGGATACCGAAAGGCTGAATACTTTAAACTGCTTTAAATTGTAACAAACCCTACATCAAATGTGCAGGTGCTCGAAGACACTTCACAGAGATAAATAAATAGAATATGTCAAATTTAGAATGAAGCTAATAAAACAACTTTGTGTTTGAATGAAAATCTGTGGTTGCAAATGTTCTTTGTGTCCCCCTAGCATGAGAGTGACATCTCCGCTTTCACCTATGAGAAGACGCTGGTGATGGAGCAGCGGTCTCAGATGCTGAAACAGATGCAGCTGTCCCGCACTGAGAGGGAGAGAGAGGTACTGTGACACTCATTATAAATATAAATATTTGTTACATCTTACCTGCAGTGCTGTCTATTAATCTTTTGGTGTGAGTATGTTAGAGATATCGGCCATAGAAACACCCTGCTTATGTTGACCTTTAAACTCTCCCCCAACCGGGTTTTATGATTGGACAACGGCTTCAGATTCAGAGCATCACAGATGTATCACGCGGCTCCATAAAGAGGAAGAAGTCTCCAGGTGTGCCTTCCCTCATCACCCTGTGCATACCTGAGGAGGAGGTAGCCACAGGACCCTAACGGCTTGTTATAGTCAACCATTACGCCATTGTTCCAACCATTCATCACGCCATCCTTTATCATATAATAATCCATTCATAACAACTGCAATGCTCGAGGCAGTGCTGTCATCAGGAGCTCAACTCAGGGATTCATCGTTTTCTCTCCTCCCTTTTTTCACTGTCCTGTAAATGCTGACTGGGTAAAGACACAGGCACCACAAGTGGCCACTAGAGGAAGACAAACTGCTCACTGAGAGCCACACTCACAGTACTTGAAATTGACATGTTAGTAGTTTTTAGAAACAGTTTTGGTTCCTTCAGGATCCCTGTCCTGTTGTTACTAGCCAATAGTTATTGAGATAATTAAAGGGGAACTAAACCCATGTACAACATCTTTACATGTTATTCCCATGGATGAAGACAGTCCAACATGTATTAATAAACATGAACGTCTCTCTCCTTAATCCAAAAACTCTAATTTAATTTGTAACGTCAACAAGTATAATGTCTCACTGGCACTTTTTTTCAGTATATGGGAACATTAGGTTAAGTTCCACTTTCAGTATGGTTTGGATTGCATTCCCTCTTTTCTCTTAGAGAGGTATTCATAGAGCCAAATAGACGTCTGTGTAGAAGTTCCGGACAAATGCCACATTTATCCCCCTCGATGTCATTGTGGTCAATATTGACCCATGGAAGGCGTGGTCAAATGAGGTACTAGATTTCAGTGATATGGTTAGCTGGTTATCGTTACTCATAGCAACGTCAGGCACGACCTGCCTCAGCACCGTAGAAAGTTGGCGACCCGGTGCCCTACTCATCGCTTGACTGCAACAACATATAACATCACTGACAAACGATGGAGATCACGTACACAGAGCAAGAGGTTTACTAAGAAAAGACACTCAGTTTGTGTTTCTGTGGTATGTCCTGCATGTACTCTCATCACTATAATCCTGTCTACCTCACTGCCTTTAAAGTAACAACATCTAAATCATTACTTTTTTTTAACCTCTTCTGATCATAATTTTATATCCCTAACAACTTTAAGCAATTACATATTTGCCAAGTTATGTTGCTTTGTGATTTGGCTAGAGAGAGTTTGATAATTTTCATTTAGGCCTTTAATAGAAAGGATTTATTTGGAAATCCAATGTTTTATTAAAGGTCCCATGACATGCTTTTCCGGTTATTACCCGTCCCCTTGTGTGTTATGAAGGTTTTTCTGCATGTAAACGGTCTGCAAAGTCACAAACCCTCAAAGTACACCCTGTAGCGAGTACAACTCTAACACAGAAAATACCTGTCTGTGCTGCCCCAGAACGCCTCGTTGGAGATTTCTCTTTTTCCATTGTTTTCTTCCTGGGTACAGTGACGTGCCCATACCCAAATGGACCAATCCGTGGAGCCGTTACGTTAAGTCCGCGGATTGGTCCAAATGGACCAATCCGCGGACTTCCTCACACACACACACTCGATCTTTTCTCAGCTGCAGCTCCGCCGATTTCTCCTCCCTAAGAAGGCGGGACGCGGCGAGGCTGGGAGTTTGTGTGTGAGCACACACACACAAACTACCTGCCAGGCTGCGGATGTGTGTGTGTGTGTGTGTGTGTTCGGGCTGGGTTTCGCTGTGTCTCGCAGACGGCCACTGGGCTCATAGGGAGGGGGGCAGGAGCTCCAACAAGGCGTTTAGGACAGAGAGTGAATACACATACTATACAGAGATGCTGTATGAGAAACCAATGCGATTTTGGAAAATTGCACATTATAAATCTATTTTAGTAGACCTCGACAATGGAATTATGATCAGTAGAAATGGCCATGACATGGGACCTTTAAAATAAATGACAAAATAAATATGTTTGTTACATTGCTGAAAAGATCAGATTTTTTATGATCTGACATGTTTAGGCCCAGTTGATCCACGACCGCAACACATCGTCTCATGCTGCAATGAGCGACAAACCTGCAGGTGCCCCCCCAGATCGGGTCCACATGACCTGGACCAAAGACAAACTGATCAACGAGAGGAACAGACAACGAGAGAGCATGGGAGTTAAGGACATTTTCAACATGAAACCGTAAGTAGATTTTAAAGAAAATAAAAAGAAATGCTGTGTTGCGTGTTCCAACACGTCAAACATTCTGTTTTTATTCAACTAAGGACAAACATAATACATTTTTGAGTCGTATGACTTATTGTTTTAATATATGGTACTCGTATCAATGTTGTTGAAATCATAAATAAATTCACATATGCTGCTAGTGTACAACACAGGACCTTCACTTAAAGACATCTGTTTGTGTCCTGTAGTGATACCAAAATCAATAATTACTTATTTTAATTAACATATATAGGCAGACTTGCATAACAGTCTTAACATAACCTGACAAAGTAGTTTTGTTTAAAACTGTGATCATTTCTCAGTGTGGATTGATGTAATTCGCTTTTTTTTTTAATGTCTGCTCTTAATCATATTGCCTTTTGTCTCATTCAAGGTTTGCCTATTTTTTTGTATGTTTGTACTGCATCAGGACAAACAAGCTCTATTTGCTTCTTGTTAATCCATATCTCAAGGTTTAGCCCTTATTATGCATTGATGTTGGACATGTTTTTTTTTGCACCTTTTTTTCTAGAGAGTGGGAAAACCTGTAAGTCACTTCTTCAACTTTCGATTCTTTTTTATAAACGTGCATGAGCTATCTGTGAATGTACAGTGTGATGATAAAGTGTGTATTGGCATGCTTGTGTGTCATTAGATCTTTAGTCCACTTTGCATGAGAGTCAGAGTGCATGATCACAACTATGGAGGCTGCATGTGACTGAGTAATGTATTTGCCTCCATGATCACCAGATTTTCAATCACTCATACTGCTGATTGAGAAAATCATACTCACTTACAGTAGCTGTGAAAGATATGTTATCCAATGCTGTTATTAATATCTCTGCTCCGATGTAGCAACCAGTCCAACGTACGGAGGATGCACACGGCTGTGAAGCTGAACGGTGTGGTGCTCAAGAAATCCAAAGATTCCCAGCTGGTGTTGCTAAACATGCCGGGCCCCCCGAAGAACAAGAAAGGGGACGAGAACTGTATCCTTTTGGGCAAAATCAGTACATTTTCTTTATTAGCAATGCCATTATTTGGAAATTGGTCGAAGGATAATGATATTGTTAAGATATTGAAGGAATAGTTTAAGGCTAGCCGTTTATCCCTGCTTTCAGTCCTAATGCAAAGCTAAGCTAACTGGCTGCTGACTGTAGCTGTTACCATACTTAAACGTGCAATTAATCTTCTTGTCTAACTCTCAGCAAGAATGCAAAGGAGGGTATTACTTAAATTAGTCAAACTTTTTAGGATTTGCAAGTTGCAAATACTGTATTCACCACTGATCAGAGTACTTTCCAGATGAAGAAATTGAGATTAAAAGTATACAAATGTGAAAATGGCAGCTTGTGTTGCTGTAATGTACAGTTTGTCTTTAACCAAACTGACTCTCAGATATGGAGTTTCTGGAGGTCCTGATGGACGGCCTAGACCGTGTCCTGTTGGTTCGTGGAGGCGGTCGGGAAGTCATTACCATCTACTCCTAGTACCCAGCTGTTCCTCATTGTTTGAAAGGAAACTTTAAGGAATGTATGGACAGTAAGGTCCCAGAAGGATCAAGGGGAAATGGACAAAGATGTCAGACAAAGGAAGGACAGTCCATTCCTTCACAAGACAGAAAAGGAGGACCATGGTCGGTGGGAAGAACAGGGGAGTGTAGCTGCAGCACAGCCTGATCTCAGTTAATCGTCTGGGGGCACAGCCGGCTTGCTACTCCCCCTTCTCTTGGGGCTTCAACATATTATACACTCTAAAAGTGACAACTGTGGGGCGTACCTTCCTTCTCAGAAAAACTGTTTTGTGGATGAGCTGTCATTTTTCATAATTTTTTTGCATTTCTCTGATTGTGGTAGCTGGTTAGAACGAATGATGCTAACGTAGCTAACATACAGTAGTGCCTTTATTTATTTCAATGCTGTCGATGAAACCTTTTAGTGATCCCTGACATTTTTTTAAGACATTTTTACCGAATACAATGTTTGCCTCAAATCACTGTATCAGAAGTTTAAGCCCTTGATTACTATCAGGACAGTTTAAGGGCAAATGTGGCGTTTTGATTGTAATCCAGAGATTGTCTTGTCAACTGTTTGTGTTGTCACAGAAAACATTAGTGTGTAAAAGGATGAGATAGTTTAGATAGCATTTAAGTTGAGTTCATGTGTATTTTATTGACTTCTTGTATTGGAGCAACGTTTTAAGGTCCATATGTAGGTTCATGACAATATAGGATGCATTGATAAGGGAGCTTTATTAGGTTTTATTCATTTAAAAAAAATATATAAGTCTGGAAGTCTCATTTTGCAGCTTAGTGCAGTTTGCTCTTTTTGTGTCTGATACACTTACAGCCAGTCATGGAATGCCTGTGAGAGAAACCGTACATTATGGTATAATATCTCAGTCTGTCTCTGCTGTTGGTGTTTTGTTTAAAACATACACCTTCAGACTGTAAAAGAATATGGCAGGAAGTCTAGCTGAGAATAAAATATGTCAAATGTCTGGCTGTGAAAACCCTGAAGACAGCAATTACCCTGTAACAGCATGAGGCAACTGAGCTTTGCATATTGGGCTGTATTTGCAATGAACAAAAAATAGTATAGCAAAAACATTACAAAGAAAGTGGGCAATTTTGCACCAAATGCATATTATCACATTTAAATATGTGCCAATAGCACAGGACATAAATTGGCCTCAGTCTTTTGTCTGCATAAAACAGGGGCACCAATGTGATTTGTTGTTTCATGTGCTCCTGTAAGGACTAATTATGATGGTGCAACATGAAAAATATCAAAAAAAGTTGTTGATTTGTACTCAACACGCAGTCCGCTGTCTTTAAATACATTTATTTTTATTTCATTCAAGATTCCAGATTTAAAATAACAAGTCAAGTTCTTAAAGTTTCTGTGTGTTGTAAAGTTTTTATTTTCAAGTATAGGTCACCACTATGATAAGGTTGGATTTAATTCAGAGCTAAAACAAGTGCACAGTTGTCTTTGTGATTAAAGGCTGAGATAAATAAGAATATTGCTTCATTAATACAAGGTCACTGTATTCTCAGAAGTCAACAATTACTTTTATTGTGGGTGTTGTGAAAAGTATTTTCTGCATGTCTTAATGTGAGTAATACTTTTAGTTTTTTCTAGTTGAGTTAATTTCTGTATGTGTAGAAATAACTTTTTTAACTCTTTGAATACCCCTGGTCATTTGACAAGATATGAGATTCTGGATTCTGCCATTGATTATTTAGCAAATTAACAGCATCAACAATAAACTAAAATGTACATATTTAACATAGTTGTCATGTCCTCTATGGACAGATTTTTCCATACTGAGAGTTTTGGTCCAAACTTAGGAACAATTTAGGAACAATTTGAGTCTATAAAAAATGTCCCACATAATGGGCTGGCCCACAGTCAGAAGTGTTTCTCCAGACTTGGATGGAAACTCCCATAACATGAAATGAAACATCTATGGACATACAAAAGGCAGGAAACATCAAAGCAGGAAGTCCGTATTCAAGGAAAATAAAAAAGGAAATGAAGCTGAGCGACTTGTTAGTCAGATGTTGATCGCTGTGATATCTCTGATTGCCCTCATCTCATCAAGGAGAGGCACTTCAGGCACACACTTTCTTATTTTTGAGTGTCGGCCATTTTGCTTCCATAACATGTAGACTAGCAGAAAGAAAACATAAAATACTTATCAAAGTGTTTATTTTATCATACTTTTTCTATTTGTGGATGGGATTTTTCCAAAATTCACCAAAACAAGTACATATTCAATGTGGCTCATTTGCATATTTGAACATTACATCAGCAAACTTTTAAAAAAAAATTAAAGGTGAAATTTAGAGGTCTCTTTTAACCCAATTCACCTGTAGTGTTTTGTCTAAACATTTTATCGGTTTCATTAACTTAACTTTGGTTAAATGTCAATTAAATCTCTCATTAAACATTGATATTCTATTGTTATATGCACAAGAAGCTGATACATCGTGTCCCACATTAGAGCTGAGCCGGATTGTCGTCATTTCTTACATAACTGGACCGGGCTCAGTATCCAAACATCAAATTAATCCTGGAACATCATTGTCGCTTGGCTCATAAAAGAACAAAGGCAATTTTGGAGCTTCAGAAGGAAGCTTTCGGAAAGACTTGGCCCTGGATAAATGGTTTCCTGTTTGTTCAGTTGTCCAGTTTTCAGATTGGTTAGCTGGGTCAGCATGCACAAAACAACAACAACAACGATCTCGGTCAGATGCTCAGATCACTGTCTGAACTACAACTCTGATACATTCTGTGCTGTCTGTAATCCCTACTTTCCCTCACATTAAACATGCTGTATTTGTCCATGATTCAGGACAGTAAACCTTATCTGAAACGTTATTGTTTCCCCAATGAGAATCTTATATGGTGGTATGGTGGACAATGACCACAAGTGACACTCTATAAAACAATTTGGAGAACTTTTAAAACAAAATAAGTGAAAATGATGGGTTCACAATTTGCTTTCTGAAAATGTAAGAGGTTTTATTATCCAATTGTTTGCCATGTTAGAGCCAAATTGCCTTTGTTGTGTAAGTTCAGTCAAAGTTGCATAAAAGTACCGCATGCATTTATAATCCTGCATGAGACGTATCTTACATTGGCCCATATACAGGCAATCTATAAATATCTATATCTATATGCAGTGTACATATTATGGTTGTATTGTATGGTTGTGTTTAGTGTCCTGTCTGTCTGTAACTTTGTGTGGTAGTGTTACCACTGACAGGTCTCTCTTGGAAATGAGACCTTGTGTCTCAATGAGATTTTAAACCTGTATAAATAAAGGCTAAATAAAAAAAATAAAAAAATTAAAGGCACAAGCAATTATATGCACATGTTGATACATTATTGTGTTCTAGTGTTTTCGCTCTAAAACATGTAGCAACACAAGCAAATATGTATTCAGTTTTGTATGGCATCTTTAAACAATACCAAGGACCATGCATGCATGCGGTGTAACATTTCGAAACAAACATTTAAACAGCCAAAAGCTACCAATGGCACTACATATTAAACAAAACAGGACATTTAATTTAGCAATTAACATAAGCACCACCAAACCTCCAAACTATAAATCCCCAATGCCCCCCATTATTGGGCATGCACTTGGTACAATCCGTTTGGCCAATTCCTGTGTTTACAAGCTCTGGCATCTTTTGCTTCTGCCTGCCAAGATGTCCCTCCAGTAGCAGCAACTAGCAGTGAAACCCCAGGCAATGGTAACTTAAAGAAACATTTAATAGATTGTCAAAGTCATCTAGAGACCAAGTGTGACTTTACAGAACTTAAAGTGGACCTATCATGCTATATTTGAATAATATAGTGTAGGACCATACCTATATACGGCATATTTATACTTTTTTTTTTTCAAAATACCAAACAGATCATGCATTTTAGCCATGCCTCATTTTGCTCAATTTGAAAAAAATTTGCTCTGTTTTTGCAAGGGCAGATTCAGTGAGAACAGCACCACCTACAGGCCTGGCATATGTACTACAGCGTCTCCAGCGCTTTCGAACGGCAATGGCCGTGGCTGTCTCCTCCTGATTGGAGGAGTTGGCCCAATAGCCGTAGCGCCACTGTTTTGATCAAATCCGTTGCAGCCCCTTTTTTAGAGATTTGGGTATGGAGGAAAATAGAGAGGGTTGTGTTTTCTGACACTTGGTGAGTTCCCTGTAACACCGGGGACACATATTCATGTATAAAAGATGTACAAAAGTGCATTTTGCATGATAGGTCCCCTTTAAGTTACTACAGAAATGAGTAACGTGACAGGTGTTTGTTTGTTTATCTGTCTGTCACTGTGATAGTTGTAACCATGCAAAATGAGGTCTAGAAACGTGAGAGTTGTGTGATTGACACCAAAATGAGGATTGTGTACAAAGATGGGTTTGGTCTGAGCAAGAGCTCTGGAAGTAGGTTTGATAAGAAGCAGGGAAGAGGCCATTTGCTAGAAATCGAGAAATAGTTTCATAATTTAAAGGTCCCCTATTATACTCTTTTTCAACAATATATTATAGGTCTCAGATATATAAAAAACATGTCTCTGAAGTGTTTGGCTTGAAATACTAAACAGATAATTGTAGCATGCCATAAACCGCTCCGTGCGTGCGTGTGTGCGTGCGCGCGAGCGAGTGATACTTTTGTGTTTCTGCCCCTGCCATTCCCGCACAAGGTTGCAACATTGTTGATAAACTCAAGCACCGACACCTGTCTGCTCTCACATTCCCGCATTATGTCTTGCGGGAACCAATCTTTATTTTTTTCACATTCTATCCCAGCTGCAAATTTGGGGGCGGGACACAATAAATAAAGCTTCGCCAGTTTGGGTCCTTATCACAACTGATCAAGATGGCCAAACGATTCTCTGCTCAGAGGGTCTTGCAAATGATTTTGGAAGAGAGAGAACCATTTGATGATGATGTAGAGGAAGAGGTTTCAGAATGTGAGGATCACATTTCTGAAAATTCTGAGTCTGACAGTGACTTTGAAGAAGAGGATGAGATTGAGCATCAGCTAGTTACAAAAAAAAAAGACGAGTCACAGGACCAGCCGGTCAGCAGGTAAAAAAACCTGTAGCACTTTGATTCATTAATGTGATCTAACAAATGTAAAAGGACAAATAATTGTAATATTAAAAAGTGCTGAGTCTGTGTCTGTAGCTTTAAATGCAAATGAGCTGCTGCTGGCCACGCCCCACTGCGATATGTTTGGTTTAAAAAAATCACAATGATGCTCAAGTAGGAGATTCAGGTGATAAGGTGGACGGGTGTTACCTTAGTTGGTTATTGGCTAATGGTTACACAACCCAAAAAAACATCACAACATGGCCAAAATCTGATCAGCTCATTTTCAGACAGGTTTTTATATAAATGGATCAGGACAAAAAGAGAACCTTTTTGGCTGAAACTTTCCGAATCTCTTAGCACAGAGGGGACACATATTTATGTATAAAAGACATGAACATTTTGATTTTGCATAATACTGTAGGTGACCTTTAATTTGTAATTTATTTCCCCTTCTAACCCCAACCCAATTGTATGTCTTGCTGAAGATTCTGCCTTGTAATGTACCCTCTGAACAAATACCTGCTTAACGATTGGCATTTCCATCAGCCTCAAGTCTTCTACTTTCATGCTACTTATTAAGTGTTAGCAAGCATACAGCTAAACAAAGAAGGTTTACATTATACCTACTGTTAAGTTCAAACTGATAAAGTTCCTTTTTCCTCATCATTCATCATTCTTTTACCAAGTGTTATGTTAGTAGATCTTGATTTATATACTACTAATGTACTAATATATTGTACTAATATTTTGTGTTCTTAAATATATGCAGCTTTTGTTCACTCTGACGTTCTCCTATCTTGTTAAGCCATTCTCTTCCCACAGCTTCCAACAATCCTCCAGTAAAATGTGGACATTTCCTCTTTACTTCTCTTATCTGAGAGCTAAAGAAGGAAGGCACAAGTGGCTTAAGGAAGGGAATGTTGTCATTATGGACAAAAAGGGAAAGAGAATGAGGGGGGAAGTTAAGGAAAGGGTGGGTACCTTTCTTTTTCTTCAAGCCATTATCATTCCAGCATCTGCTAATAGTGGGGTATTAACATCACAACATGCATAATTTCACAGAAACACCCTCACATCTTGACCCCTGAAGCCATGTCTCTGCTGACTTGGGACCAGCACTAACTTGACCAGCTGTTTCAGTGTGTTGCTGTGAAATGCGTAATTAAATAAATGTTTGTTTTTATTGAAGGCACCTATTTAAAAAAAAATTATATATTTTTTTAGGGAATAATGTTAAACTCCTTAAGCTTCAGGCCACAAAGACTAATCCGATGGTTGCTATCTGGTAGTGTGCTGCCTTGAATTGGGTTTCTGCCCAGAAAAACCAGCCAACCAAATGTATTTTAAAATGAAGGCCATAGGAACACACATTTTTATATGAGTCTTCTGGTCTTAAATACATTAGAATTTAAAAATGTTTTATGGGATTGTCTTTTTTCTTTTTACTCTCGGAAACTGGTAAATCAGTAAGTCCCAACACTAAATACCAGAATTAGACTAATGGGTGTTTTGCTTTTTAAAACATCAGTGTTTATGGCCAGTATGGAAGTATCAGGGTGTGACTATAATGGTATGAACAATATTTTTTTCTGACTGATTAAAGGGTTACAAACAATGAGAGCAACCAGACAACAATTTGTGAGGCATGGAGTACATGTTTGAGTAGAATTAGCAATTAGTCTTTTTAACCAATGAATGATTTTGTGTTTTGAAAACCATATTATATCTATGAATTTGAGCACATACTGTTGAGAATGTTGTTCCGCTGGCAGGTAGTGTGATTATTTAAGCCAATTATTGTGTGGACAAAATCATATCTCTTTCCTCCAAGGCAGGCTGAATTCTTATTTTAATTTCTTTAAAGAATGATTCCCTCTTATTTTCAGCAGGAAGCCACTGGTTGCCAGAAGAAGTCCTCATGTAAAAATTATCATATTTCAACTTGATTAATTAGCTCATACCTCAACATTTTTAAAAACAAGTTTTGCGAGTCTGATTTAATTTGTTAAATTAAGGTGCCAGTAAGAGAAAACTGAAAAAGAAAACAGGGTCTGATTTAGGGCGCTGCTACCTTGTGATATAGTCTGGATGCTCCTTATTTTTTTGTCTTAAAACTTTAACACTTTCCAGTGTGTTTTCATGTGAGGAAAGTCAACTTTTACCTCTTGGTCACCTAAACATTTCTTATTTTTCTTATCAGCGCAACTTTTTTGAAGGCAGATTTTGAAAACATCGAAATGCAGAAATCCAAGCCCCTCCCTTTTGGCCTCCCCCAAAGCCACTCCCCCCAAAACACATGGATCCTGCTTAAGGAGAGGAACACCATTTGGTTGTATTGGGCTGGATAAACTGTATATTAAAAAAATTCAGGATTACACATTTTATTCAAATATTACCAGAAATGAAGGACTAATATTAGTCAACCATAAGTTGTAATGGTTGTTTTCTGGATCTTGACGCAAATAATGAGGCTGCCATGAGAAATGTCCTGTTTTCACCATACCTAATGGGAACTTAAGGGCTACACAGGGTGCATACATAATACTAATAAATGGGAAGTGTCAGCAATTCCAACAGCATTTATTTGGACCAAGGCTGTCTTACACTTTAATTCACCCATGCTATATTTGCTATAAATCACTGATCATTATTTTTGAATAACTAATTGATAAACATGTGTTTTTGAAATATTTGTTCTCAGTCTGATATTAGCTACACACAAAACAGTCTGAAAAGAGTTTTTTTTTTAAGTAAAAAAATATTATCATAATAAAAATGAATTCAAAGATGGAAACATTTTCCTTAAATGATGGTCATCATATTGTCATTATTGAAAATAACTTAACTAAAGCTGCAGGTTAGGAGAGAGGTTCCACTGAGTGAGTAAGGGGGGAGTTTTCTTTCCTCCAAGGGAGTCAAATTTCCAACTCTGTGGGTCTGAGAGTCACCCAGCTCAGAACTGAGAGAGCCTTTGTACTGAGAGGGAGGGAGAGAGAGAGCAGCATTAGTGTGACTTCAGGTCTGCACAGTGAGGCAGAGGGATCACGGACTTTGACGGAATTCCATCACACACATGCACTTGGAGTTCACTTCCAAACCTGGATTTGTATTCCTTTACTTGCTAAAATGTTTCAAGGGTAAGGCAATTAAACATTACTTTACCTTTTCTGAGTGTATGAAAGCATCCTATCTTAAATTTAAGTTGCACCTCAGAGGAGACCTGTGATGTAGCAACACTTCTTCTATGGACAGCCTACTTGCCTCTTCATTTAAACACTTTCCCTCTCTACATCAGCCATTAACGTTATGATAATTGTATTTAACCTTTTTTTTTTTTGCCTGAACAAACCTAGATTTTTGTGAATGATGTGTTTCCTCAGGTGGTCTCTTGCCCTGCATCTACTCCTGCTGTGCTGGCTGGCCACTGCCCTGCAGGTTATAGAAGGTAAGATTAATGCTGCTGCTGCTCTTGCTTAACACTGTAACTGTAAAGAAACACAAATATAATGGATCAATTTGGCATTGACCAAGCAAATGCTTCATTAACGGAGCTTTTCCGTTTGTTGATGATATGGTCCTAACTAATCTATGAACCCTACTAGCAAGGTAAAGACCATGGGAGGCAATTAAGTGTGTGTTGTATCATTAAGCAGTAAATACCAGTTTCCATGTAAAGGTAAAAGCTATAGTGTTAACTATGAATACATATCTGGGAAAGCTCTAATAAACAAAATGCTTTAGTTTCTCATGTACAACACAGTCACAGCAATTTTGGATAATTTTGATCAGATTCATGGCATCCTGTCCTTTTTACTGTATGCTTTATAATGTGTGTCACAAGGTTAGGTTCCTTTGGCCATTTTGCTACATTACTTTTCTAAGTGCAGGTGTACATTCCTCTCCTATTGCCAAACAACTTATGAAGCTAATGTTAGCGTGATTAGCCATTTAGCTAGTGGATAAAATCTGCACGCTTCAGTGGTCATTTTAGTAGATGGAGAAATGAGAATCATGCTTTTGTTTATCTCAACCTGAAATCTTGGAGACCTTCTTGCGACATTCACAAAGAATATCATTTGTTAAATCTGAAACTGTTACCATTCTAATCTGCTTATTTGCGACTAAGCAGGGCTTCGCAAACTTGTATTACGTATATATGTAGTTTCTTGGGGTTATAGGTCACACCTATGTTTTTAGGGTCCTCATTGTAAGATATTAGTAAGAGCTATCTTTACAGTTCAAATAGCAGAACAACAAAGGGAGATAGAGCTTTACAATTAGGTTTGAATGGTCATGATGCACATATTAATGTAAAATGTCAAGTCTTGCCCGCACACTTGAGGTAATACTGTAGGTTCCAAGGAACATCAGCTGACTTTAAATTGTACGTGGCTGATTTCAAGATATTGACCCCGAGAAAACATAAAACTATTTACCCTTGAAAAATAATTGCTAAGAACAAAGGTGATCAATTTAGATGGGGAACAAAAGACCCTGAGAACTCTCCTGTTTTTTATCCCATTGATCCCAATGTCTTAGTTATAATCAAGGCTGTTTTGACTTCTTAATCTTTAAAACAAATACAGAGACATGGTGAATATTTGGGAAGAGATGTCGAAATCCCTGTTTGGTCGTATTATGTGAAAGAAAATGTTACACCTAGAACTTCACTGAAGACCCATTTGACTTAATGGACTTAGATGACTATGTATCTATAAGGTGGAAGCCAACTAGTGATCTGGAGTCATCTACATGTTGTTGGCAGTAAAAACTAAATAATGATTGGGTTTAAGGATAGACTTATGAGGCATACCATTTTTGCGGGTGCATGAGAATGGGCCTTAATACCTGGCCAAGATTTTTAAAAAACTGACCAAAAGGTTGCAGTTAAGCACCAATTATAATGTAAAAGAGTTATCAAATTAACAGTTTTTCAGGAGAACTTCTAGAGTCAAATTTCACCAGTCATCCACTCTTCATTACAAACCAATAATATGCGGTCAGTCCCTTTTCAATTCCCATGTTCACACCTGTGTCAGCTGCTGTGGTTTCCGTAGTTACTCCCTGCTGTGAGGATCTTCTTATACAGCTCTGTAGGAGAGAGACAGTTTGTTTGTTTGGCAATAGGCTGGGCTTCCTCTGCCCCCTTTATCCTGAAAGTGTGTGTTTGTGTGTGTACAATGAGGTAGCTGGAAGTGGCAGACGAGTCAAACGCTGCACCAGGGTGAGAAATGAACTGTTTAGTTTGTATGGTAATGGTGTGAGGGGTTTCATCTGCACTGCACTTGCTGTTTGTGTGCTTGAGGACATCAGAGGGGTCGGTGTGGGCTGGTTCACACGGAGCTTTGAAAAGCAATGTTGAGAACACACTTGTCCCTGGGCCAGATTAATGTCAGCCCGTTTAAGTATGTGGGTGGTTGATTTTTGACAATGGATGAAGGAAATATATATTTTTTTTAACATTTACAGAAGTTCAGAAAGAATCCAGGTTACAGTGTGTCTGCATGATTTAGAAGAAGTACTTTATATACACTGAACACAGCTCATCACATTGCGGAATGCCACAGGCTTGCTGGATAGAGGGACTGTCTTGTGATCATAACAATATCATATGTTTAAACCCACAAACCTGTGTCCCAATTGTACACAATGTCATGACTATATATCAGAGTCCTTCAATGCTTATGCCTGAATACTATTCTGGAGCAACAGTTAATATGAACCCAGTTGAAAAGAGACTCTCAGACAGAATCCACACTTAGGTTGGTCAATTTAAAAAAGCGTGTTTTTCTTCTTTTGGTGCTTCGTAGTGTATGTTAAGCTGGTGTTTTCAACACTTTTGCAGCTATTAACCTACAATAACTGGCATTCAGCACAGACATCAATCTTGACAAAAAACAATCTTAAACAATAACGTGAGCGTGCATCGTTTTCACACATTTCAATAATCTTTCTTTTTATTTAGTTGCTTTAGTGTGTTCGGTTTAGAGAGCATCATTGTAGGCATCTACATTCATAGACACAGGACTTATTTTTCTGTTTTCCAGACTCCAAATGTCACCCTGTCCTCCAAAAAACATTCTTATTCCTGCCTCCAGGAACCTTCACTTTCCATTTAGCATTGGTTGAGTTGCTCTGAAAGGGTTCCATGTTTAGCCAATATAAATGATTGTGAGGTGAACCCAGTGGGAGTCCTTTTTGTACGAGCCGCCCCTCTGTACTGTAAAACCAAATCCCATCATTTACTGTTGAGATCCTCTCTTACAAGCCATACTTTGGTTCCTTTGGTTGTTGGTATGTTTTCTGTACGTTTTCTGCTGTCAAAAACATGTTTCCCCCCAACTCCCACCTTTAAGTCTTTGCTTCTTCCGCTCTTGACCTTATTTGGTCTCTGCTGTTCCTGGAATAAAACTCCCAGCAAGCTCCATTTAGTGTTTTATGAGTCTGAAAACCTGGCAGGGAGTGTCATAGCTGTATGAAAGAGCCTATACCTAAATGTCCTCAGTATATTAGAGAACTGCACACCCTCACTGCAGCGGCGTCCTGTCTGGAATGTGCTCAATGAGGCAGATTAACTTTGATTTTAACACAGTTGGGCACAATGGGCCAACTGTAAAAGGTGTCATTGCCGTATGTGTGTAATGGTCGGATCTATGGGATGGGGAAATAACAGTCACTGGAAACTTGAAAATAAGAATGGCTGTTTCTTTTAGGGTCTTATGACTTTCCGTTGAACATGGTCTTGTGTTTTCCATGATGTGATGCACACTGAGATGATGTAGTTCTTGACGTTGGTTCCCATTACAGCATAGAGGAAAAAAGTGCTTTGATTTCAAATAAAGCCAGAAAAATATGTTGTGTTTTTGCAGAGGATGTTTAACTAATAAATGAAGCATTTTTTTTGATTGACGTGATGATTTTTAAGATAACAATTCTGATTTACAGCTCTTACAGTAATGCTTTTTAGAAAGGAGACTGTTGCTGTTGTTTGGGTACACCGTTTCCATAGTGACTGTTGAGCATGAATCGTTATCATTGTTCCGCGCTATCTATGCTTCTGTGATAGAAACATACAATGAAGGCTTTTAACTAAGAGTGATACAATCTAAAACGTATTGCCTGCTCTAGGTGTGAATAAGCAAAAACATTTCTACTTAGTAAAACTTAGTATCTTTTTGGAGTAGATATATATAGTTCAATTAAGTGAGAATTTTCATCACCAATTCATTTGCCGAATAGTTTATCAATTCATCTTTTTCTTTTGTAAAAATGTAAACCCCAGAGCCAAAACAAATGTCCTCAAATGACTTGTTTTATGCCAAAACCAAAAGGATTCAGCCCACTTTTGGATAAGACAAACAAAAGCAGCATTTAGTAATTGTTGTTTTTAACTATAATTGAAATTAAGCCTTGAATTAACCAATTTTTTCAGATTTAGTTTAAAGTTTAAAGTTTTTTTTTATTTCAAAGAAACAAATATCATGGTACACATTACCAGTACTATTTTTACAACGTATTTTCTGCTTTGCTTCCTTTACCTGTTTTAAAATAACAGAGATGCTATCAGACGGTAAGTAGTTTGCTGACTGACAAAAATAAACCTGACCTGCACTCAGGTTCATTTTATGTAGGGCAGATGTTATACCTGTCTTGCTTTGTTTAGTTAGATTGTTTTGGTTTGACTTAAAATAAAGTCACAACCAGAGCCATGTCCTGAATAAAAAATGAATGTGTGACTCCCACAAAGACTGCTCTGTCTTTTAGAAAGTTGTCATGCTGGTCACTCACACAATGTAAAATGGCATGTTCACCTTCTTATTTTGAGTTAACTTTCAATACCTTGTTTGAGAGATAAGTAGGAAGTACAACGTTCTTCTGTGTGCCTGTTTATGCTCAGGTATGCTTTTGCATATTTGGGTCTGTGGCTACTAAAATGATGGCCATTTAGCTGTTTGCAGATGGAGAGCACTATACTTAAACACACACATCAACACACTCTTCCTGAAGGACAAATCTGTCAGTCACAACACTAAATTACTAACATGATCATTGTTTCCTCTGCTCTGTCCTCTTTAAGTAGACTTCAGGAAGAGTATGACAACATTCCATGCGAATTCCCAATTCCTGTGTAATGTAATTGAAGAATCAATTGGAAACTGAAATCCTGCACGAACCTGGTGTTTTAGATTGGAAAGATTTCTTATTTGCCCTTGTATTAGACACGACAGCATAAATCCTTCTTCTTCACTTCTTTCCCTGAGGCTGTGTGGATGTGCTTCTATTGTTGCTGAACATACCTGTGAAAAAGATGTTGGTCAAACATTGACAATACTATAATATCTCATTCCTTTTCTTATGTATCACTTTAACTGACTGGAGCTTTTTACAAAGGATTACAAATATATTACTTTTTACGACCTTAAAAATACGCTAATTGCTAAAAAG